AGTTATTCCGTCACTCTTACAGGCGAGTTGGCGTTCTCGAAAAAAGTTTAAAAAACCCATACCTAAAAACATTGACGCAGCCATAGATGGATTGGCCGATGAGGTTCCGGGGGATGACACAATCATAAGAATTGATAAAAACAATAAAATTGTAGCAGTGACAAGCAACTTGATCTTCAAATGCAACCTGCCCTAAAAACAGCCCTAAAACCCGTCCTTGCACTGAAGATGATTCCGGTGAAGACTGTGATAGCATTTTTAGCTGAAGTAACAGCGAAAAATCTGTGAGTAACCATATACCTTATTTTCTTAACTTTCTTCATTTTCTATTTTCTTCTTATTAACTTATTTATTCATTTACTTATTGATTGCTTACTGGAATTTATTTGAATGAAAATTTCCCCTCGTCCGTTTATAAATTATCCGTCCGTTGAATTGTCTTATCAAAAAGCGATATTACTGGAGCATCATTGCATCGTTGCCAAATAGTGCAGGGTGCGCAAACGTTATCGGTAAAACGTGTGCGCAAATGATATTCGTGAAAAGTGTGCGCAAACGTTATCGGTAAGAAAAGTGTGCGCAAACGTTATGCAGCCATCAACACAACTTGACGTAGAGACATGATTGGCTAAAAAATACAACGGTTTTTGACACATCGGAAAATCAACCAAAAATCGAAGACTGGGCGAAACGCTCAAGGTCGCAGAGGCATAGGGAATCCCATAGCAATAGCAACGGAACGATTGTAAAATCATGGGGAACTCCGTTCCCATGACATAAAGAAGTCAGGTAGATGAAGGTAGAATTTTTAAAAAGAGCCAAAAAAAATTAACAAAAAAATAAAAAATTCTGGCGAGACGGTCCCGATACGTATCATTTGAGTGTCAGCTGCAGCCCATCTTCTTTTCGACACAAAGGTATAGCCTCAAGTATTGCAAGTAAAACAACAATGGAAGGATTACTTGAATGCTCAAAAAAACTCCTCTTAAATTCCCGCTAGCACTTTAAGCTTATGAAATTTGTTTCGTGGCAGATCCCGAGGACTTATTTAGAAATTTATTCGTTCACTTGAAATGAAGGAGCTGACCGTCAAATTTATGATTTTTCCGCCTGGCGCTCACAGTAATAATTAGCCGTCCTGAATTTTGAAGGACCTAGGTGGGCGAGTGGTGAAAAAAAAGAAAGAAAAATCGACTCGAACTGGTAAAAAGATGCATTTTCATTTTTCGGCAATTTTGAACCTCACTCTTCTACCCTTATTATTGGCACTACCCTTTCACCCATACCACACCCACAAGAGTATCGGGACCGTCTCGCCGGAATTTTTTATTTTTTAGCTAATTTATTTTGGCTCTTCTTAAAAATTCTACCTTCATTTACTGACTTCTTTTTTTAATTTTCAAAGAAGGTGCCAGAATCTGAATTGAAAACATTTATTCTATTCTTGATCTAAACGAGGAAGGTCTCGTAAGTATTATACAATGGTTCCTTACATAGCTTTTGTAGGTAAGAAGAGTTGCGGCTACCTGAAATGAAGGGGAATAATTAGCGAAAAATTAAAGAAAGTTCAATGATGTATCAGAGTGGAATTTGTTTCCTTAAATGCAAAACGAAAATAAAAGTGAGATGAGGAGATGGTAAAAAATCTTGACTTCAAAAGATATCAAATATTTTGAGGTTTGAGACTGAAAAAAGAACTGCTTATTTTATCCCTCGCCATCTTCTCGAAGGAAGCAAATCCAATTATCTTTCCTTGTTTTAGTGACCCAGGCAACCAAACTAGCTTCAAAGGTAAGCTGGTTGCGTCCGAGACTCTCTGAAGGGGACTCTAAGCAGAATTAATTTCCCGTTTGCTCGTTCTAGTTCTGGGGCGTGCCTAGACTTAAAAAATCTTGACCTCAAATGATATCAGACATTTTGAGGTTTGAAATGGAAAACAGAATTTGAGTTGCTTTTCTTTTCTCCTTCTGTAATTTTCAAGAGATTACTATCCCCCCCCCTCTCCTTTTTTAAAATTTGTTAACATAAATACCTGCTAATTTCGTGATAAGATCTCATAGGCTTGGCGGAATTTTTACCCTTTTTGAGGGTTTTTTGTGGTTATACAGGGTGTTTCAGACCACCCGTACCAGGCCTTTTTCTCGGTTGGTTTAGGTCGCACGAAGTCGGAGACCGCGGGTTGAATAGGGAATTGACCCCAAGGAATCCGAATTTCGTGGTCCCGAAACCCCCCCCCACCCTTCCCTTGGGGGGTAAAGGGGGGTCACGATGCTAAAAGTCACGGTTCCCGACCGAATTGCGGATTAATCGCATCAGAATTGGAAAGCACGAAAAATTTCACGTGAAATTGACCCCTAAAAATCCAAAATCGGACCATCCAAGGCCCAAAAATGACCCCCTAAAGAGGGGGCCAGTACCCCCCTCCATAATTTCTCTTTGGTCTCAAAATTGACGTGAATTTTCCAAAAAAAGACGGTTTCCCAGGTAATCGACCTCAAGAAATCCAAATTTCATGTTCCCTGAGCTCCTCGGGGTCGATTACATGGGAAACCGTCTTTTTCTGGAGAATCGACGTCAATTTTGCGACCAAAGAGAAATCCTGAGAAATTTTTGGCGGGGGCGAGGCCCCCCTTCTCAGGGGGTTACTTTCTGCCGTACAGGGGGTCTATTAGAACTCTTAGGAGTCACTTAAGATGTAAATGTGTTCTGCTCCTCAATTTGGATGCAATCAATTTGCGATTCGGAAAGGAGCCCCGATTTTTAAAATTGGGCCCCCCCCCATTTACCCCCCAAGGGACGTTAGAGGAGCTTCGGGACCATGAAATTTGGATTTCTTGAGGTCGATTACCTGGGAAACTGTCTTTTTCTGGAGAATTTACGTCAATTTTGAGACCAAAGAGAAATTATGGAGGGGGGTACTGGCCCCCTCTTTAGGGGGTCATTTTTGGGCCTTGGATGGTCCGATTTTGGATTTTTAGGGGTAAATTTCACGTGAAATTTTCCGTGCTTTCCAATTCTGATGCGAATAATCCGCAATTCGGTCGGGAACCGTGACTTTTAGCATCGTGACCCCCCTTTACCCCCCAAGGGAGGGTGGGGGGGGGTTCGGGACCACGAAATTCGGATTCCTTGGGGTCAATTCCCTGTTCAACCCCGCGGTCTCCGACTTCGTGTGACCTAAACCAACCGAGAAAAAGGCCTGGTACGGGTGGTCTGAAACACCCTGTATATTATACCACAGTTCTCATCACCGAAGGTGGAGTAAAAAAATTCATACCTCAATTTGGAAAGTTGCAAGTTTTCAGATAGTATTTTATGTGGGTAAACCAAAATGAACACATTCAAATCTGTCGTTATATTTCCGAGATATGATGAGAACGACTAATTTAATGTTTCATCAGAGTCTATTTGTATACTCCTGTTAGGGAAACAAATGAGTAGGAACTTTTAAACGAACAAAAGCGAATCCGATTTAAGCTTTCTACAAGCCTATCTTATATCTTAGCCTCTTTATTTCTTGACCATATAAACTTCCGGGAGTCAATAACCTACTTTTCCGCTTCCTGCTCGGAAGTTTAACGTAGCAAACTTGGCCAAATGATTTGAATGTCCATCGGTTTCTCCAACAACATTTCACGGCCGAAAATCTCATATTCAAGGCATCCTAAAACTCTGTCTAGGTAACTCCATACCTTCTAGTTCCAAAAAATTGGACAGGTGTGGATATTAGTCCCTCGAGATCACACCTGCTACCGACGCCTGCATCTGTTTTTCGAGTGGCAGGGTAAATCAATTGAAACAATGCCTTTAGCCTCAATTCCCAATTCTGTCCCCGTGCGATCTTGTGTAGTATATCCCTATATCGTTTCCTTATTATTAGCCGTCGTTTTCTTTGTTTATGCTTTCGACTGAAGTTTGCCCCTCGAGGGAGAAATTTCCGCATTCCGAGCTCATGCTCGGATAGCGTAAAGCGACCGAAGCCGATGATCGGAATCTGAAACGGAGTTTTTTTTCTCCTTTAGCTATCAGTACGTCCAAAGTGAAGAAAATTCGTTTGAGAAGGGACTACAATTGCGTTTTTATCAATTTTTTCTATCTTGAAAAACATGAATCTTTGTTTGAAACGCTGCAAAGTTTGTTTGAAAAATAAGTAATTTGCCCTGAAGTTTAGGTCAGCACATTTTCAGTTTGGAATTTCGAATGTAATGCTGGATGTACAAACGTTTTGAAAAAGTTTAAGATTTTTTAAAAGTAAGATTTCTCTTTGCTTTCCTCTTCATGACATAATCCATTCCCTATTCCTTTGAGTTGACATCATCTTATTGGATTCTTGATGCTTTTGAAATATGAACATATCTTTTGAAGTGTCACAAACGGCAAAAGTTTCTTGATGGACTTCATTTTTGAAGAAGTCTGTTCAACACAAAATAAAAATTTGCAACCGTGCTTTCTCATCAATGAACCTCAATGAGTTTTATTTTCATTAAAACCCCTCTAATTCAAAAAGAAGAAAAAAACCTTCAGAAAGAGCGTGCTTTTTAACTACATTTAATAAGAATTAATAGCAGGAATTTGAGAAAAAATTATAACTCATTAAAAAAGAAACAGGGACTGAATGAAACAATATATAATAATATCAATTTGATTTCATTGAATTAACTGATTTGGTTTATTTGAGAGCAACTGGATTTTTATTTCAGATTGCACAAATGTTTACAACTTTTCAGGAAGTAGTGAAATAAATAAAAAATTGTTTAATGTCATTGTTGATTCACCTTAGAGTAAGCACGAAGGCGCGGGTTACGTAAAGGTTACAACTCTCCGGTCAGGATGTTGTATCTCGCCAGATTGAAGGCGCTTTATACAGCGGCCTCAAACCGCTATGAATTCCTCTCTACTATTACTACCAACTCTACTACCTACTGACTATCTCTCTACGGTAAATTAAAATATTGCTTCTTTATGAAATTACAATACATTGGAAAGAATGAGCGACTTACTCGACAAACACACTGCGTTCGGCAGTCTAAAGTAAATGTTTGCGCGTCCGGATATGTGCAGTTATTTACAATACATGGTTTCCCAGCCATTCCTGAAACAAAATGAGAACAGGATTTTTTTACGTATGAATTAAGATTATTTTTCCTATCGTTAAAATGTATCGAGGGTTATTACTACGAATAATTGCATTTACTAAGGTTTGAAAAATAAAGTGAAGCCTCATTTTCTTTAATTTTTTTACGATACACCATTATCTTGTCATTATAATATAGAATATACTTACATTACCTACTTGAATTCAGAGAGATTATGAAACATCATAATTTGATTTGCTTACGATTAGAGCAGAAATATACATGAAATTAGGAAATTCGTATAGGGCAAATACGATGAGTCTAAATGTATATAAAGATCTCTTAAGATGCGACTAACCAATATGTTTGTAGGAAATACTCAAAAATAAAGCTTTAGTATGAAAAACCTAATCATACCGATTCAAAAGAAGGTTTTATGAAACACTCATCATATGAGCATCACTGATCATCGTTTTGTAAAAAATTACTTTTGTTCTCAATTATCCTAAAATTACAAAGATACATTTCACAAGTTAATGCATTGAACCTTTCGATTTTGAAGTAGATTCTTTTACAAGAAATCGTTACCTGTACAAATAACACGCTGACAAATTAATTTAACGACAAGAAAAAAGATGTATACCTAATTTGATTTACAGACGCGGAAAGACTCCCCAGACACTCTTTGCGAGCGGAAACGAAATGTATTTCTGCGTTTGAAATACGAGCTCCGGGTGGAAGTGCGTGCGTTTGAGAAATGCTGACAGTTTCGTTCAACTTTTAATCGGCGCGCACCTATCAAACTTTACCCATCCATACAAAGGACCCATAAATCAAAATTCCCCAATTAAACTTCGCGACTGACTGTAAACTTTGAGACTCAACTCTGTCACCGTTCCGAGACGGAATCGTAAGGGCCATGTCGTTTGACGACAAATTTATGAATATGAGGTGGTTTTATGAGCAAGTTTCGAAGGGAATGTAAACACAATATTTCTTGAAATATACTTTGTTTCTCTGAATCTTTTGTCTGCATCTTGATTGTATCTTGTGCTCTACTCTCAATGTTACCTTGCTACGGAAGAATGCCGCATGAGTTTTCCAATGTTGCCAGAGTGACCCGGTAGAATATCAGTGGCTGAAGTCGGAAAATGCGTACTTCAATGGAAAAGTTCACAAATGCCTTATTATGTTTTACACAAACGAGGAAACTAATCAAAATATACGTTCATGTTTATATCTAAGGAAGGTTGCAAATATTTAGGGACAATAAATTTTGTACATTTCTAGAAAAACTAGATTAAATTGCACATTCGACTCCAAAAATTAGAGGAATTGCATTTTTGGCGCGTATACGTAGTATACCGCCTTTGCGATCGTTTCGACCCCTCACTCGATACAATAACCGAGTCCCTTAGTTCCTTACCGAAAAGTGACTACCGCGAACTTCTGAGATTTTCCAAAGCGTGTAAAAAGTTTACTTATCCGTCAATAATTATGATTTAAAGTTTTTTCTTATTCTGGGGCTTTCTAATTTATGTGCAATGAATACCAAGCGTCTGAGTTACTTGGTTGTTTTAAAAAAAGCCTAAGAATGCGCCGCGCTGATTTAAAATATGCATTTATAAGCGAAAGCAAGCGAACTGATTCGAGGATGGCTGACCAGTTCGGCACTCTTCGAATGAGAATTTCACTCCTTCGTTTCTAAAATTAAAACATTCCAAAGTTAAAACAGTCTAAAATTCTAAAGTTAAAACAATCAGCTTTCGTCTCACCTTTAGGGAAACTCCGGCAATTGGAGTGTAGATCCGGCAGCCGGGCGATGTGGTCTGAAAGTTTATGTTAATGCCTGTTTTTATCAAAACTTCGCAACTTAATGAATAAAATGATTGTATTTATTCTTAATCCCACTCCGTCAGCCCGTCGAGTCCGGTGCATTTCCCACATCCGCTCTTTTCATACCCCCCCCCCATCCCACCAGTATTCCGAAGGCCAACGCCCAACTTAGCGTTTTCATTTTTTTGCCCGCTGCAGCAAGTCAAAACTGTTCGCATTAGCGCGAGTAATGCGTTTACAGAAAGCGGAGTTTCGCTGCGCTCTCCTGGAGATACCAAGAATAAAAAAAACAGCGCACGCCGTATTTTTGCGTTCGCTCGTTAATCTCAAAGACAATATTTTTGTAATTCTTGTATCCTGTACAGTTGCTCCATGCGGGTGGATTTTCATCGTCAAAGGCGCGGATTTTCAGTCGGAGTGTATGATTTGGAAAATCTGAGGAAACAAAAGTGAAGCGTAGAAATTGTGTGCATCATTGGGCCAAAATAAATGTAAAGTGCTTCAAAAATGAGCAAGAATTATATTCGCGTAACGGGAACAACAACTCTAAGTGAACTTCTCAAACTTCTTTTGTCAACAAATGAATAATTAACTTTTGGCGTATTTAAAAAGCAAACAATGAGTGAAACCTCTTTGCGTTTTCTTCTTTTCGGTGAATATTCAGTTTTTTTGTTTTAAATATCTATAATTATCATTGAAAGGTTTCTAGATGTATGCTAACGGAAGATTGTTACATATTACTATGGCCGTCATGGGCGCGCTTCGCGCAACCCTCACGGCTGGCTGAGAGGCTGCGCCCCCTGGACCCCCTGATACTCGCTACGCAAGTGACATTCGGTTCGCTCTACGAACCCTTCTTCTACGTAATTGGAAATTTGATCACTATGATGAATACATTTTGGAGACTCCCAAGACAAAACTGATTTTGTCACAGAAACCCATTGCCGGAACTTCCCATCATTTGAACATTAATACAAAAACGCATTTGGATGGGACGTCAGTCCCATCGAAAGGAGAGAAGGGAAAACCGTGGATCTCCTTCCACGATTTGACTCACTGAAAAAGCAAAAGTTCATATTTACTTTTTAAGAAGATTATCGGTGGCATAGCGGTCTGAAAACTGTGCAACGACAGTTAGGTCCGAGTTCCGAATCGATATGAGCTCACTTTTGTTTTAAGCGCTCAGCCGATAAGCAGCGCTTTTTGATTTCGACTTGCCTCTAGAGCACTAGTATACTAGTGCTAATTCGTTTAAATGGCGCACCAGCTCTTCGATGTGTAGGCTTTTGGGGGGGGGGGGGTCCATTTTTAAAATTAATAAAGCTGTGAAAACTGTATTTTATGCTTTTAACGTAATGCGCAAGTAGTTTCAATCGTTTGTCTATAAGAAAATTTCCTAGCGGTAGAGTAATTCTTATCGAAATTGATCGTTGAACTTAAATGAAGCCTAAAAAAAACGCGCCTGATGAGCTCAACGGTGGCTATCATTTTCGGGAAACGAAAAAACGCGTTTACGGTTTCCTTGGTAACCTTTTTTTACTATCAGCTGATGTTTTACTTCCATTTCCCAGCCAAGTCGACGGAGTTTATACTTCCTTTCTTCACGAAATACATTCACTAACACCTGAGCACTTTTCTAATACGACAGTGTTAGAACTTTCCCGCTTGTTTTTCTTATGGTTTCGTTGCATATAAATTTATCGGGTGGTTTTCTTTCATTCTCTCTGATTGCATAAATGATTACATCTTTTTTGGGGAAAAAACGTAAGATAAGAAGAGGATCAAAACTTCCTTGAAATGTGCCTGATTGAGGAGAAAAAAGAGTTAAGCAAACCTGAGGTAGGTTAAGATTGGTGATAAGCGTCTATTTTTCAGCACTCAAAAAAAAAACTACGGCCCTGTGACCCGGTTGCTCTGGACACTGGTGATTCCGGTGTTCACGCGCCATGAGGCAGCTAGTACCGGACACAGCGGTCGAAGTCCCCTGAGCCCGCACGGCCACCAAGGCCGTAAGCCCGGTTAGGAGCCGAGCGTAAGTTACGGGTTTTAGGATCGGAACCAACCGCTTCCACGGCCGTTGGCAGTGAGGTGAGATTCAGTTTTAAGAAAATGGCGTCACCATCGGATAAAAATTGAGACGGCTACGTGTTCATTCGCAGAAAATTATAATATTTTACGTCAATGTTATTCAGTGCGTGAATTTAAAGTTGCCGCCAGCCTTGAAAATATTCGGGAGCGATCGCAGCCACCACTCAGCGTTGTTTATTGAGGTTAGAATCTAGTAAATTGCTTGTCATTGTTGGTCATTGCTCATTACGTGTGTTCGTTTTTCGTTTAATTTTGGAGGTTTTCGATATATTTTCTTGATTCTGTGCGGTGCACGATTGATTCTAAAGTTCTGTGTGATAACGTTTGTCAAATACTTTCGGAAATGCGACGAGAGTTAAGTGAAAATTGTCAGTTTTACCTACGCACTGAGCTCATATCCTCTCCTCCTGTAAGTTCGTTTGCAATTCACTTATTTTCCCCCTACTAAGGGAAAGAACTTAAATCAAAGAAAAGCAATCAATTACCTGCCACGCATCTTCCCACAGAGTAAATTACCGCCACACTAAAATACTGATAATGTAGACACGAGAATGTCTATTTACCGATTGCAACTTCATTGTGCCACCTTTGCTTGCTCATAAGATTGGATTGATTTTTTATTCCATTTCAATCTAATCTCTGGCTTATACTTAAATGTTTTCAATTGAGAGTAGGTAGTATTTCACTCTCCGACATCCAACACCTCCCTTCTCTGTTGCCAAAATAGCTGTCCGCCAGCGGAAGCTATAAGCCAATCTTGCCTGCGTTGATTATCCGATAAGAGCCAGTGCAAACATTGTTAATGTGAATATCTCTCTGCGTCCATATCCCAATTCTAGGGAGCTCAGTGTACTGTAATAATGGTAAAATTTTGTGTGAATCGCGCTTCAGTTTGCTGAAGGGAAGATCTACAATTTTAACAAGTGTGACAATATTCGGTGGTATATTTCTTCGCTGATATTTTGTGGAAATTGTATGCGGTAGTTACACGGAAAAAAATAAAATGTTGATTTAGCATTTATAATCCTGGAAAAATGTGCGAGATGTTTCAAATGCTGATTTTACATTAAAAAATGCTAACTTTACTTTTGAA